GGTCAGCGCAGGCCAGGAGATGAGGTCGTCACGTTGACACTCATTCTTACAATTAATTTGTGCATGCATCTGGGTTTATAAAATGTATAATTATGAATATTACATGGGAACTGCTGTCTGTTTGAAGCCTTTTTAAGTTAGGTATGAATCTGTAAATACACACAGTTGAAGTCAAAATTTTTAGCCCTGCTGTGAAATTGTAGTTCTTTTAGTTTGCAAGTGATTTCATAATAATCATAATGCTTTTAATAACTCGTTTCTAACCACCCATTTCTTTGGTCTTTGTCCTGATGCCAGTACTTAAAGGTCCGGGGGAAATTAAAAGAACGTTTTTTAGATGTTAGCATCAGTATGTCTTGATAAGCTAGTAAGCTAGTTTGGTAAAAAAAAAAAAAAAAAAAAAAAAAACCAATGACAAAATTAATGTTTAGAAGATATAAAGATATAAAGATATATATATATATATATATATATATATATATATATATATATATATATATATATATATATATATATATATATATATATATATATATATATATATATATATATATATATATATATATATATATATATATATATATATATATATATATATATATATATATATATATATATATATATATATATATATATCTTTATATCTTTATATCTTCTAAACATTAATTTTGTCATTGTTTTTTTTTTTTTTTTTTTTTTTTTTTACCAAACTAGCTTACTAGCTTATCAAGACATACTGATGCTAACATCTAAAAAACGTTCTTTTAATTTCTCTGGACCTTTAAGTACTGGCATCAGGACAAAGACCAAAGAAATGGGTGGTTAGAAACGAGTTATTAAAAGCATTATGATTATTATGTAATCACTTGCAAACTAAAAGAACTACAATTTCACAGCAGGGCTAAAAATTTTGACTTCAACTGTGTGTATTTACAGATTCATACCTAACTTAAAAAGGCTTCAAACAGACAGCAGTTCCCATGTAATATTCATAATTATACATTTTATAAACCCAGATGCATGCACAAATTAATTGTAAGAATGAGTGTCAACGTGACGACCTCATCTCCTGGCCTGCGCTGACCCAAGTGCTAAACGACAGGAATCTGTCACATTCCTGGCAATGAAATAGATTAGGGGAGAATTCGCAGCGCTCTAATTACATCCACGGCCTGTTGAATCCCCCCGGCTGCTGCAGGAAAACCATGCCATTCACATCAACGATTGGCAGACACAGGACGAGTTTATCGACAGGAACACACACACTGGTGTATGTACACAGATTTCAGATATTGTCTATAAGCCTGATTCATGCACATTTCTTTTTTCAGTTACAAGGAGATACAGTAGGAAGACACAGCCAAGCAGTCTGCTCTGCCAAATGCATGTAATGCAATTCAGACGCAGTACTGATTAGGGAAGATAAAGCGTGACTGGACTTCCTCACTGAGGTCAGATGAGTTCTCCCGCTTCCTGTTTATGGTTTGAGGAGTCGTCTGCTGGGTTTTGCTGATATTGGAGGCTTATCTGCTGTGTGTGTGTGTGAGAATTACAAGACAGAGGAACAGGAGTTACTCACTTTACTTTTTTCTGGGGTTCAGTAAGGGCTCCTGAGCCAAGACCTGGCACTGATTTCCGCTTGCGTGGCCTACCAGGCCCTCGACGTGCGGGACTTCGAGGAGTCTCCTCTTTCCTAAAGAAAACATTGTTAGCTTTTGCTGAACATGATTCAATGTGAACTATCAACTAATTTCAGCTCCACTGAGTGCAATTACAAGCCCTGCTGAAAAATTCAGCTTAAGCCAGCCTAGGCTGGTTGGCTGGTTTTAGCTGGTTGACCAGCCTGGTTTTAGAGGGGTTTTGGCCATTTTCAGGCTGGTTTCCAGCCATTTCCAACCTTGGTCTTAGCTGGTCAGGCTGGAAAAATGACCAGCCAAATCCAGCTAAAACCAGAACCAGCTTGACCAGCCTGGTTTAAGCTGGATATAGCTGGTTTTGGCTAAACTCCCAGCTTGGCTAGGCTGGTCAAGCTAGTTTTATCTGGTCATCTCCCAGCCTGACCAGCTAAGACCAGGCTGGAAATGGCTGGAAACCAGCCTGGAAGTGGCCAAAACCCCTCTAAAACCAGCCTGGTCGACCAGCTAAAACCAGCCAACCAGCCTAGGCTGGTTTAAGCTGGATTTTTCAGCAGGGAGAATAAACACCATTATTCAAAGGTATTTATAGCATGGAATCTTACTTAAAGTTCATTTTAAAGAGTCAAACTATTTAATAAGGATGTGACGGTGGATCGTTTTTAAGGGTCTTACTGGTGATCATGCTTCCTCTGAAGCTTGGCAAGCTCTTTCTGCTTCTCTTTGTAACGTTGTTGCAGCTCTGCTAGCCTCACACGCATCTCCAACTCTTGTCCATCCATACTGTCCATGGTACCTTTCACTGGACATACCTAGAGCAACCAAATCAAACAAACCTTCTCTTAAGTTGCCCTTTGGTTGCTTCAGTTTTAGAGGGAGCTCTGGACATACTTTTAGTTGTAGTCCTTCTGTTTTGTTATCGAGTTTTGTTTGTGTAAGTTAAATTTGAAACAACGATGACTAAAGGAATGAGATACAAGTCGAATGCACATTTGACAACACATTATAAACGTCATGAAGAAAATGTTGTTACCGGTTCATGGCGAGGTGTCCAGCTGCATTTTCTACGTAAGTTGAGAGTCCTTCGAGCAGGATACTGCTTCTCATCTGTGGTGACGCTCTCCTGCGAGCCCAATTCAAGGGCACGTGCTGCTGCCAAAGTAGCAAGGCTCTGAAGGTCAAAAATCCATTGATCTTCTTCTGTTGACGAGGAGAACGAAATGCAACAAGAATACATTATATCTCTCATATTGTGTAATCTACCATGTGAAACAGGATGTTGATGAATTAACTGATAGCCTTGAAAGCAGAAAACAGATACTGCATCGAGAACCAATTTGAAGGGCTAATTTGTCTTGTTTTCAGATTGTTCTTCAGATGCACATTGCTCTACAGGATATCACATGATCAAGATTTTTGTTTTATTTTCAATCAGATAGCACTTTATAGCTCAAGACAAGGAAGTAGGTCTTTTAGTTAATGGAATTACTCAACCACCACCCATTGTCTTAAATAAAAACTATAAAGTGAGGACATATTCTAGAGTAGATGTGTAGTTCTTGTAGCTTTTTACAAAAAACAAACAAACAAAAAGAACTGGCACTTGAAGCAAAACCAGTGTCTTGGAGGAATAAGGAAAATCTCATTGCAAACTTTTCCTATAAAGTACCTTGAGTTTTACTGCAACTTTGGTGGTACCGTTGCAGTTCCAGATCAGCAAGTTCACTCAGCAACTCCATGCCGTGATATGTGGAGTTCAGTGGACCACAAGACTTTTGGGATTGGTAGGAGGAGGGTGGAGAGGGAGGAGGACAGTCACCACAGAAGGCTGCAGCAATCAGAAGCTCCAAACTCCAGTAGCTTGATGTGAGACTCTGGGAACAGGTATTCGATGTTGATGGTGCAACCGTTGTACAGTTTGACCCTTGATCTTCCTCACCAATCACTGCATCCTCTTCTTGGGTTGTGGGTGAACAATCAGAGGCACATGGTTTTTGTGTTAATGGAGGTTCCAGATCTTTTAACGTTTCAATGCCTTCAGTCTCTTGAGGAGGTATATCTTTTTCCACTTTTTCTTCAAAGCTAGCAATTGGTTCTTCTTCATGAATGACTTCCTCAGAAGATAGAGTAGGTGACTGTCCTACTTCACAATCTTGAACTTCATCAGGAACACAAATGATCTCTGCATGCTCCTTTTCCTGATTAGCCTCTACAGGCTCACAGCATCCCATGGCCATGACTGTCTCCACATCTTCCCCTTGCACAAACACACCCTCGTGTTGTTCCTCTACCAGGCTCGTGGCATCGACTTCCATTGTTGGCGCTTGTGGCTCTTGGAGTGGCCTCACCATTGTATGACATTCTAGGCCCTCTCCCAAACTGGAAAGAGTTGGAGAAGTGTGTTCAACAGCTTCAGACTGAACAGGCTCCAGATCGGCAGGCTCGGTCAGCTGTACGTCTTGAGTCATGGGACCATTCCTGTATCCCATGTTGATTTCTGGATAGGTATATCCAGGTGGCAAATCTGCGAGCACAAACAAAGATCAGTGGTTTCAATAACACACAAAACTCTAAAATAAAACATTTACTTTTTTTCTTTGAAACCTTTCTAAGGGTGACATATTTAATAATATCTGCACCAGAAGTCTGAACAAAAACACATTTGAATCGACTTGGCAGCGACACTATCCCTTGATCTTATTTTGACTTCAAAAAGTGCTGCTGTTAATGGGGTAATTCTGAGGTAAAACAGCGCTCTTTTTCTAACACTGCTACATCCTCTGTAACAGTTAGTGAGGTGTTGATGATGATAAAGAGAGTGTAGGCCGGGGGGACGGGGGGAGTCTGGACAAGGTGTTTCTCCATCATTACTGATGTGCTGGCATTGGGGAGCTGAGCTGGCAGCCATTTTCTGCATCTATCAGCAGCTTAGTCAATCGTGCTCTTGCCTATATAGCCTCCCACACAGAGCCACAGAATCTAAAAAAAGCCCTGATTGTTTCTGCATGAGGGGCTCAGCATGAATAGCAAACAACATGTGGCTCATGTTTCTGTGACTTGAAACAGGCACCTTAACACAAACCTAGGGTGAACAACCCAAACTCTAGACATGACAACAAGACAGGCAACGCTAATACACTGCATTTTAAACAGCCTACTACTGATATGTAAAGAGGAATAGCTGCTTACCTGGCTCCATGGATTGAGGGTAGTCCTGTGGTGGCTGCCCTTCCACCCTCTTTTCCTGGGACTCCACAGATTTGAGTCGCTGTGATGGGGATGGGCTGATGGCTGGTGAGCAGGGTGTAACAGCGACTGGACTTGGGGCAGGGCAGGGTGTAGAGGGTGTACTTTTAGGGTGAGGCCGCATACAAGGGGACTGGCAGCAGGGTGACAAGTGGGCGGTGGAGCCCCTCGCGGGTGAGGACACACGGCTGGATGGGCCATAGCCATAGCACTTAGGGGGTTTGGGGGTCCTCGGATCAGACAGGATGTCTTCTAGCTCCATGCTCTGCTCTTCTGATTTCTTTTGCACCTTGAAAATAGACTGAATTAGAAAGAAATCCTTAAAGACCATTCAGCGCTCCTAATGAGGTCTGGACAGTTTGACTTATTTAAGGAAATAGATACATATTTTTAAATATTCATGCTGGTCTCCCAGCCCTGTTTTGCTGAACCATGTTTTGATTTAGACCCTAATGGAGCAGATCGATTGATTTTGGCCTGCAATCAAATTTAATCACGTTCATTGAAGACTGCATTTGGTTGTGTATGTCTAGAACTGTAACTGGGTCTTGCAGGAAATTCTTTTTAAATGGATTTTTTTTTTGGGGGGGGGGGGGGGGGGGGGGATTTACTCTCTGCACTCAATGAAACAGTTTTAGTCCACAAAGAAGAATGCAACCTCACTAATTAACAGGTGCCAAGCATTAGATCATTTGAAAGCTCTGCTACACGGTGCTAAATGATCTAATGTACATGTTTGTATGTACCTGGCTATGGTCAGCTGTGTCTCTCTGCTGTAGCTCTGTATTGTTTGCGGCTCTGTGTGTTTGAGGTGGTGGTGTGTGATGGCTGGGGTGTTGCTGATGCTGCAGCTGCTGGTGTTGCTGCAGAGCATAAAGCTCCTGTTGCCGTAGAAACTGTGAGCGAGGATACACGGAAGGATGCTGCATGTGGGAGTGTGCCCCGCGGGCCCTGTAGACTGGGGGCCACAGACCAGGCTGCTCCATCACATCTATAAAGAGAAAGAGATATGTTAAAGGCCATGTTTAAAAACAGTAGATGCGTCTCACACAGAGAGCATGGCCTCTACCCAAACCACTTACACAAAGACAAGTCATAACTCATTTGAACACAGCCTCCACCACAATTATTATCCTTAGTTAAATCTATTAATACTGTGGTTCCCAACAGTGGGAAAAGCCAAGAGAACAAAATTGAAACTGTATAATACAATTTTAAATAAAACTAAACACAATTACAGACTGATTATTGATCATGGTCATCAGACTGTTAGTGTCAATTTGTTGCCTCAAAAAAACCTACCAATTAGAGAACAAGGGTTTAGGAATACACAGTTTTGTTCAACAGAACAAAGAAGTTTGACTCTGTCTCATATATCTCCTCATTAATATAATTAATTTAAATGAAGAAATTGTAAACTTGATGAAGGGTGCTTTCACATCTGTAGTTTGCTTCATTTGGTCTGGACTAAGGGCAATAAATGATACATTGTTGCATCTTCTGCCGTCTTTGGGTCGTTTTCACACCACACTGCTGGCTTTGGTCCGAACCAGTTAAAAAAAAACAAAATGCAGTCATCTGACAAAATCCACATCTCTCATTGGCCAGATGTTGTTGAACATATTTCCTAAACTGCTTATTGATTGGTTAGAATTCACGTGCGGGAAAATGCCAGTGAACTCCCGCAGGTAAACAAAACCTTTTACTCTGGAGGGATGACTGCGCTGGCTGATTGTATCCCTGCTTTAGACAAACTATACATTACGAAAATGAAGCGTGGCCGCGGCTGGAAAACAGCATTTAATGCATCGCTCGTCACTTCAGGAGGAGACGTGAATTAATTTAGCTAAACTGCGACATGGTCATCTTGCGGAAATATTACCAACGATCCATCAGGTAATGTGTTCGGTTGAAAGCGTACCGAGACCACCTCTTCAAGCAGGTCTCTGTATTGCTGCATTCTCACCTGCCCAAACGAACCGTACCGAAAGGGGAAACGAACTCTAGTGCGATTCAATCGAACTAAATAAGGCAGGTGTGAAAGCACCCGAAGTTGAGCAAAAACTACAATTGTGGCATGTGATTGCTACATGTGTGAAAAATATCAATTAACCAGCACTCTTGCTCCCCGATCACCACTTACTGCCTTATCCCCTCATTTTTTCCAACCTAAGTCCAACCTAACTGTTCATTCACTCATTCATTTTCTTTTTGGCTTAGTCCCTTTATTAATCTGGGTTCGCCACAGCGGAATGAACCGCCAACTTATCCAGCATATGTTTTATGCAGCGGATGCCCTTCCAGCTGCAACCCATCTCTGGGAAACACCCATACACACTCATACACTATGGACAATTTAGCCTACCCAATTCACCTGTTCGCAGGTCTTTGGACTGTGGGGGAAACCGAAGCACCCGGAGGAAACCCATGCAAACGTAGGAAGAACATGCAAACTCCACACAGAAATATCAAACTGACCCAGCCAAGGCTCGAACCAGTGACCTTCTTGATGTGATGCAACAGCACTACCTACTGCACCCCTGCGTTGCCCCCTAAATGTTTAGTCCCAGAATAATGCATACTTTTAATAATAATAATTTTAAGATGAGAGTGAACTCAACAAAGGCAGTTCCCATCAGAATAAACATTAGCTTGAAGAGTTTGGCATTTGACAAGCTATATTCCCTCCCGAGAAAAATTCCAATCTCTGATAACCACAGTGGGCCCATGATACAGCATGTAGTCAAGTTGACTTCTTTGTTCCCATGTCATGGATAAGCTCCTAATGCTCTCCTAATGTTCCCAGAAAGCCAGTTGACATATCTTCAGCCTTAGCTTCTGCAAGTCCGATGTGTTTTTCTACTCCTGCCATTTCACATAGCATCATTAACTTGCATGTTCAGTCTAAGCTCTTATACACCACCCCCTGTGCCTTGACACATCTCGGACCTTTGCTCTGGAACATTAACCCAGCTTAACTAATGTTTCCCGGGGGAAGGATTTTGTGGATGCACTTCCCCTTATAGCCGGAATTCCTGTAAAACACAGAAGGAAGTATTCCTTCGAAGACATGGAGATAATTAAATTTCACAGCCTGTTTGTGAGCTGAGGGATGTGTAGACTTGTGAGACTAGGAGGTATTCCTGTTTCAATGTTTTTTAGAGCACATATGGCAATGGCTTAAAGGGGGGTGATGACAACATCCCAACCCAGACCATGTGGGGGTGGAGCAGGTGGTTGACAGGAAACAGTTTTTTTTTCATTACTCTTGCATGTTTTCTTCTTCATCTTAACATTTTCATTCTAACATGTCATTTTAAAATAAAAGCAAAATAGTGTAAACAGCATCTCATTCCCTGGGACATGTACACACATGAAGATTAGTCCACAAAATTTCAAACAATTATGAAAACTATAGTGATGTAAATCAGATAAGGTTTTAGAAGTGTCCACACTACACCCACATTAGAGATCTGCGCGGGACTAAATTTTGAATCACCTCATTGCTCGCTTACGGCTACCACATCTGGCCCAATTGATTCGGGCCGGAATGGGACAGTGAGTCCACAAGCAGTGGAGTCCGACAGCCGGAGCCGGGCCGAGTGCTTTCTCAGGCAGGCGAGAATCTAGCCGGAACTGACCCGAGTGTATTTTGCTATCTGGGAAAGCTCTCTCTCTCTCTCATTCGCGCGCGCGCGCACTAACATACACACACACAAGCACCAAGCATACACACAGGCAAAGCTTTCTCTCTCTCTCTCATTCGCATAGCAATATCCGCGATATTGCTAGACAGCCCGCTCCCGTCCCAAATTAAACCCGATACCGACCGCTCCCGCGATTTATTCGGAAAATTATTCCCGCACCCCAGAAATCTGGTCGGGTCCTGCGGCGCCTGCGGGAATGCAGACCTCTAACCCACATAGCAAAATATCTCTGGCCCAGCTCTGGCTCACACAATCAGCTTTTGCTTGGCCCACATGCCGCAGTGAATTACGGTACATGACTGGACCAAGTCTGGCTTCCAGACAAGGGCCAAACATGGACCATATCTGGGCTAAGTCTCAGACAAGTTAAAAACCCATTAATGAGCCTGAACTGGGGCAGATATGTTGATGTATCACGACTGCAATGAAATTGATAAACCCATGAATCATTGCACTTTAGGCACGCTATGGGCGTGCTTTTTCTCAAAGCGACCTGATTGGTAGAACTTTTCTTCTTTGTTTGAAAATAATAAAAATGTATTTTAAATGTTGGTCAAGATAGGCCAAACTTACATGGCCCACATATCAATTATTAACATCTGAGCCAAATACTACATTTAACATCTGGCCCAAGTATTGTAATCCGCCTTAAAGACGGTGCCACCTCTGCCAAACCAGGGCCACGTTTGGCCCACATGCTGTATGCCAGTGCAGGACGAACCCCTGCTGTGCCAGATATATGCCAAATCTGTGCCAGAATCCTTTGCTACCTGGGCAAGGACCAGGGTGGCAAGCATAAGTAATTTAGTCTGCACTCAGTTTTATTGAAACATTGAATATAACCTTGAATTCTGAGTGGAATCACTTTACTAAAGAATACTTTTTCTGGCAATGTAAAATCTTCAGGTAGAAACCCATGAGAGTACCAGTGTGCCTCACAAAAAAAAGAGTGCTAAATCTGAGAAATGGGTCGTGTGTAGCAGGTCAAATAAATCGAGAATATGGATAGAAGGAAACAAAAATGACAAAAAGAACAAAACAGCATGGTATACCAAGGTGTGTAGATGGATGAGTGGCAGGCTCACTGGGCAGCACTACCAGTTGGGTGGAAGGGTCCTGAGGCAGGGGAAGAACTGGCTGGAGAGGGGCAGGCATAGCTGCAGAAAACCCAGGGGGGAGATTCTGATGCAGGGCTGTGTGGCCAATACCTATAGAAGAATAATTTTAGGATACACTATTTTAAAAACATATCCACTACAGATGTATTGATTAATAAATGAGCTCCAGAGCAAAATTCAATTAAAAATAAACACTACTAACCATACGAGTGACCCGTCATCCAGAGGGAGGGACTTCCTGTGCGTGGCATCCAGTGGTGGTGAGCAGAGTGTGAATGTGAAGCCGGATCTCCTAATTGGCCAGACTGCATTGAAGTGCCACCTGGCACCATGATATGAGAGGTGAGGTCACCATGGCAACTATTAGACGGATGAATGTGTGCAAATTCCACTCTTTCCTTGTTATCCCTGCAAAGCCAGATTTGAGACAGGTGAAAGGTGAGGCGTTGGAAAAAGTGAGAAATAAATGTGTAAGGCAATATATATTCACCTGATATACGCATCTCGTTCTCTTTCTATACACCGGTGGCCCATGTGCTCTATACTTGTCCTTTTCCTTTCCTCCTCTCCTGGTAAATCGGAAGAATACATGGAGCGTGGAGTGCCTGCAAAATAGTTAACAAGTTTACATCACAGATTTTCCCTCATCTGCAGCTCTTACTATCTTTGGCACTCTGCATGTACACAGCTGCTGAGTAGCTTTTTTTTTATCGTGAGTATCGTGAGTTTCAGGAGTAAACGAGAAAAGCTGTCTCTACTTTGGGTCTTGGCAAGTTTTGCTATTTATTTTTCATCAGCGAAGTCTTTCAAAGGTCATGAAAAAAGGTTCTGTCTCCCTGCCCACTGTTTGTTTAGGAGGGATTTAAGAGGTCAAAGGTCAAGCTTACCTTTCATGGTGGAGTGCACCCGCCCCTGTCGGCTGCTGGGATGACTGCCTGATGCTTGGCATGGAGGATCTCTCTGTCTTGCCACAGCAACTGCAATCCCTACTGGAGGCTGTCGAACCTCCCCCTCTAGATGTTGGGCCTCTCCCATCTCTCGGCCCCGTCCCCCACAATCACCTCGCTCATTTTCATGGCTTTGGCCTTTCCTGGTAGGTAGGGTCTGCTTGCCTCCCTGAAGAGAGCAGCTGGTGCCATTTGGCCCGGTTTTAAGACTCCCAAGTCCTCCAAATGGGCTTTTCTGTGACAGGGGGAGAGACTGCTGGTTGCTGTACTTCAGAAGGTTCTTCATGGCACTATTCTCTCCCTGTGAGCCTGAGACCTCCTGCTGGTTTTGAGGAGGAGCTGGATGAAGGGGTGGAGGAGGGGGACCCATTCCTGTTGTTTGGTGCTGCTGCTGTGTGGGCGGTCTGTTATTGGCAGCTCCACTGTTTGGTTCCATATAAGCTTTGTGCTGATTTTCTTCAGAGTGGATGTGATGAGGCTGCATGGCCCAAGGTGGCACTGATGGCTGCTGATGTGGGTGATGCTGTGCATTGTTGTTGTAGCCATAAGGGGACATTTCCATCTTCTGCTTCATCTCCTGGTTACCATTAGCCTGCGCCATGTCTGTACCTGGGGTGTCCGGGCCCGCCCTGCTGTGCTGTTGGTGACGAATACGGGCAACTTTCTGTCCATCTCGCTGCATAGAGCAGCTTCCATGTCCTCCTCCACCTGCGTGCTGAGCCATGGTTTTCCCAGCCAGAGGTGAGGGAATGGTTGGGGGTCCGGAGTGTGAGCAATCCCTGTAAGATTGGGAATTAGTGTTGGTTTGGTTTGGTAAAGGATGTACAGCCTTTGTCTCTTGACTTAGTGTAGATCTGAAAATGTCTGTTTCCATGCTGTTGATGCAATCAGCACTGCGGGAGCGCACAGACTGGTGTTGCTGGGGATGGCTCTGCTGCTGCTGTTGTTGCTGTATGTGGTGGTGGTGGTTGTGGTTATGCATCCAGTCAGGGGCCTTTTCGGCTTTTCTATATGGATGTTGCTGCTGAGTCGGAGGCTGCTGTTGTTGTTTTCTAGGCCAGTTACCATGATGTCCCCCATTGCCATTTTTTTCCATGGTCTTGTCCTTCACACTGTTCCCTCCACCCCCAACCCCCTGGCACTCTGAGTTGCCCATCTGGAAGGGGCCTCTGGTTTTCTCCCCAAGGTGGTTGACAGATGGAACGAATGTGGCTCCGTTCGCTTTGGGGTCTCTGCATCCACCACTACTGATCCCTTTATCATGTACTGAATTATTTCCCATAGGGGCTGGCGGTGGAGGGCAGAAAAATTCAGGGTGATGGTGCGTGTGCCGGTTGTGATGTGGGTGATGGGGGTGGCCAGGGTGAAGCTGCAGACAGTGAAATCCACCAGGATGCCCCCCTCCAGCAGCTGAGGCCATGGGCAGAGGAGGAGGTACTGAGTAGGTCAGAGAATGCTGCAGTGTCTGACCTCGCTCCAGACAGTCTGTTGAATGCTGTTCACTGATCCGCATCTCCCCACTTATCGCTTCTTTACCACAGCGACCGTTAGCGCCACTGCCCACATGTCTGTTCTGAACATTATTGGACCCTACATTACCTCTGCCCACCCCATCGACACCATAAGTAGTCATAGAGACCTTTGGCCCAGTCCCATGTTCTCCATTTATCACCTTGCCGTTGAGCAGACAGGCACTAAGAGGTTTTCCCATATTCTGTTGATGCTCCTTGTACTCCATGGGTAGAGTGGCTTTGTGTCCCCTGCTAGTCATCTCCTCCATGGTGACAGGGTGCTGTTGGTGGAGCTGGGATTGATGGGAGTGATGATGTAGTTGGTGGTGATGGCGTTCTTTAGAATCATGTTTGTTACTAGGTCTGTCTTTATCTTTTGCAACTGAAGCCACCCCTCTCTCTAAGTTAGGCTCTTTAAGGCCCTTGTGTAAGTTCACTCCACTTCCTGCATCTCTGTCCCTGCTACATGAGCCCTGGGGTTGTCCTGATCCTGCCCTTGACATAGGCTGGATGTTGTGATTGGCTGAAATGAGTGGGGGCTGGGACGGAAGGCTTCTTAAATAGAAGTTCTCTGTGAAGCAGATCAGATATTGCTGTTATTCATTTAAAATAGCACTAGCCTAAGCATTTCTTGGGATTAGACGATGTTGGCACTATCATAATTGGAAACTAAAAAAGGACTAGAGCTGCATTTAAAGTATGCATCTCGAAAAGTAATAGAAATTATGGTCAAAAATTGACATTTTACTCACCTTTTTGTGTATCGTAAAAGCGATGCTGTCCATAGAGGACTCCACTGTTGGCATGATGATCCAAATGGCTTATGGGAAGAAAGGTGTGGGCTAGACTCCCTGAGAAGTGAGGATACCCTGGGACTGCTGTGGAAAAAATAAATAAATAAATGTGAGCACACCAGTGGAGACACCCAAAGGGAGTTAAATGTACAAAGAATTATAGACATAGCAAAAAAAGTGGGTGAGAGGAGCAAGAGAAAGAGAGAGAGAGAGAGAGAGAGAGAGAGAGAGAGAGAGAGTAATAAATGAAAGGACAGCTCTGATAACAAGACAATCACTGAGCCACATTTCTTTTGGCCGCAAGCGTTTTGGTCCAGATCTAATCCCCCTATTCCAATGCAGCTGGCGTTTCATATTCACCAATAACCACAGGCTTTGGATGTCATATTTGCCATTCCTATTTGGGTTTGCAATGCAAACAAGAAGACAAGTTCAGTCTTGGGGGCCGAAATAATGAATGAATTTTGTCTCCTGAACATATGGCTCTCACTGTGGTAATCTTCCATTGCTGAGGTAAGAGATCCCTGCTGAAAAATCCAGCTTAAACCAGCCTAGGCTGGTAGGCTGGTTTTAGCTGGTTGACCAGCCTGGTTTTAGAGGGGTTTTGGCCATTTCCTGGCTGGTTTCCAGCCATTTCCAGCCTGGTCTTAGAAAATGACCAGCCAAATCCAACTAAAACCAGCTTGACCAGCCTGGTTTAAGCTGGATATAGCTGGTTTTGGCTGGACTCCCAGCTTGGCTAGG